TCTGGTATTAAAACCTATTTTTACACTTTCATAGTGTTTTGACCCCAGTTTGGGGGTTAACTGTTTGCCCATAGCTGAGACCCTAACTGGTGGTACCACACGGGTCAAGATGGACCTGGGAACACCAGCAATTAAGAGCTGGTTCCACGCTCATCAAAACCTCCTGATAAGAGGCCTTGCTGTTAGATGTAGTTTATCGTCTTACCCAAGACGACTTCATGTGTGTGTTTACATGTAGACAATTCTATTACATTTGCGTTGTCAACAAGTATACAGACATAGAACGATCTATTTCTTGTTAATATGTCTAAACCATGAAAATGGTTAAATGTATAGCCGAAAGCGCTCGGAAAGAAAGAACAATTGGACGGTTTTTATATAACTTACCCGCCGAAAAGATCACATGAGAAATTGTATAAAACAACTAGATCAAAAGCATCTTGTCTGTCGTATTCAATATATATATATATATATATATATATATATATATATATATATATATATATATACTTTCTCGCAGATTGACCTGTCACCTGTCGAAACATTGGGCAATCCGTGCACACGTCGACCAGGGCATCATACAACTATCAAAATAAGACAAATATTAGTAGATAACACCAAAATACTCTACAGCACCCAATACACAGAAAGACTCAAAACTCTAGAAGATATAATTATACAAAATAAACAGTCTATTTTAAATAACATATCATTCGCCACAGGAGAATTTATCTTGAAGTGTATATAATATAATTAATATGCACACATATTTTATAGTAATAATAATAATAATAATAATATATATTCAAATTTGGCATATATACATGTTATATGTTCTACTAAAAAAGAAACATAAAAAAAAAAAAAAAAAATAGATGCCCCGACAGGAATTCTTTTTCTATCAGAGAAAGTTCATTGTTAATCACCGCTAACAATTTGGTCACGGTAAAAAAAGAACATCTGACGTTTGGCGTCCTACGAATCTGCAAAATTCTGTTTCTAAACCGAAACGTAAACAACAATAATTTTTTTTAAGAGGTATTTTATTCGAAATTTTTGTGTTATTAGAAATGTTAAATTATTTTAGTGGGTACGCCTGTTTGAGTTATTATACCAGTTTTTTTTTTTAAATCTAAACAGTGCATTAATAACAAATTTCATAATATATATATATATATATATATATATATATATATATATATATATATATATGAAAGGAATAATATATATTAAATATGAAAGGAATTTACTTGAAATAAATAGGCAAAACTTGTTTATATTATTTTACGAAACATATATTATTATATATATATATATATATATATATATATATAAAAGTTTCAAATTAAAAATTATAATGTTTTATTTTATGAAATTATTTATTTATTTATATATTTGATATTTCATATTTCAAATTTTCAGAAATAACTGTTTTCATCATAACAAACAGTTATTTTGATGAAAAAACAGGACAATTTGAAATATCAAATATATATATAAATAAATAAATACTTTCAAAAATAAAACATTATAATTTTTAATTTGAAACTTTTTCTATATATACATATTAAGAAAGTATACGTGGCTTCTCATTATGCTGAATATATATATATATTTTTAAAGCATTTCATCTCTTTATATACATTTATTTCAGTCCCGCAATATACATAACAATAAATTTTAACTTATTTATTTCTCTTTTTAAACTGTCTTCTCTCTCTCTCTCTCTCTCTCTCTCTCTATATATATATATATATATATATATATATATATATATATATATATATATATATATATATATATATCACAGTCTCAGAAGAGTGGATGTAATTCTAGGAAACACAAAATGAAGACAACACTAGTGAGTGAGTTTCTTTTAGTATATATTTATTATATATATATATATATATATATATATATATATATATATATATATATATATATACGCTTATATTATATGTTGAAACTTGATAAGCATGGAATAATAATAATACAACACAAAATGTACGTAAACAAAATGTATTGAAACAAGGAAAAGGTACACAATATTTACAGTTAGTTTTGGTATATTCTTGGGAAGACTGTTCCTGCAGAATGGGTTGACTAAATCGCAGTCGGGCAGAGTCTCTAGATTGGATCTCTTCTTACTTCCTTTTTCTCGTCTTCCGGTACCAACCCATATTTATATAGTCGGTACTCCACTTATGTAAATTAGGTGTATCGTACCACAACATTATATATATTAATGTAAACGTTATATTTATATATATGCATAGTTTTTTAAGCGTTTCACCCCAAGCAAGGCGGGAAGCGACTAGGACGCAAGGGGTTACAGAAAATTTAGAGCAAGATCAGATAGGAGTGATAGAAGAAAGGATGAGGGTAGTGGATAGATCAAGGCAACTGGAGATGTCGATTGACATTACACTTGAATAGCTGGAGATTATAGCTCACAGGGAAACCGGAATAAGGAAGGGAGTTCCACAGGCGAGAGGTGCGA